AATGGGCTTTCACATAAATCTAGTAAACTGCTAACAGAGAAAACTAGACACAGAGGCATTCAGGATGCTAAAAAGGCTCATAAACAACGCATCGAGGACAATTTCAAAGACAACAGCACACGTGACATGTAGCATGGCATCAGAACCCTTACAAACTACAGACAGAGTCAGAACCCCCTGCCATCCACAGGCAGCTCCACCCTCCCTGACCAGCTTAACACCTTCTTTGCTCGCTTTGAAAAAACAGCAGAAACAGCAGCAGAAGCCATCACTGCACCAGAGGACGTCCCACCCGTTCACCCTCCAGCCATTCCAGGTTCTGCAGACCCTGAGAAAAATCAACAGCAGCAAGGCGGCTGGACCGGATGCCATCTCTGGTGAGCACTAAAGGTGTGTGCATCGCAGCTAGCTGAGGTCTTCACAAACATTTTCAACCTTTCACTCCAGCTGGCCACAGTCCCTACATGTCTGAAATCCACTACCATTGTCCCCGTACCCAAGAAACCAACCATCTCCAGCCCGAATGATTACCGGACGATCGCACTCACGCCAGTAATCATGAAATGTTTAGAGAGACTGGTGCTGGGGCACATTAAGTCCTTCATTCCCCCTACCCACGACCAACTTCAGCTTGCCTACAGGGCAAACTGGTCCACTGATGACGCCGTAGCTCTAGCTCTGCACACAGCCCTGACACACCTGGAAAGGTGTGAGGTTGCTGTTTATCAACTTCAGCTCGGCATTTAATTCCATCAGCCCACACAAACTAATCAGCAAACTGGAGACACTCGGCATCCAACCAGCCCTCCGCCTGTGGATCCTCAGCTTCCTGACCCTCAGACCTCAGCATGTCCGACTTGGCGACCAGACCTTCTCCATTTAGTAAGATCGTTATTCACGTCGGCGGCAATGACACCTGGTTATGTCAGTCCGAGGTCACTAAAATTAATATTGCCTCGGTGTGTGAATACGCTAAAAGGATGTTGGACTCCGTAGTTTTCTCTGGACCCCTCCCAAATCTGTACACTGATGACATGTTTAGCCGCATGTCATCATTTAATCGCTGGCTGTCCAGGTGGTGTCCAGCAAACTATGTGGGTTTTGTTAATTATTGGCAAACTTTCTGGGGAAAACCTGGTCTTATTAGGAGAGACGGCATTCACCCCACTTTGGATGGAGCTGCTCTCATTTCTAGGAACCTGGCAAATTTTATTGAGAGTCGAGTTGAGACCAGGACTCGGAGACACAGTCCTATACACCTCTCTGAGCTTCTAGTTCAGTTACCCAGCCATAGTTTTCATAGTTTTATACAAACGGTGTCTGTCCCCCGACCACCTATATTATTTAAATCTTAAATTAAACAAAGAGGAGTTGTGCATAACAACCTCATAAAAATTAAAACCTCTTCTGTGACAGAAAGACAAAACAGGAGAATTAAATGCTGACTGTTAAATATCAGGTCTCTATCGTCTACAGCAGTGACGGACAGACACTAAACTGTTATTATACACATATGATTATTGTCACACATGTATACTATCAGATATTAATACATACTTTCAACATATTGTACCACAGTAGCCAGAATTATTAATTATAATATTATTACTTTCATTAATGTTGTTGTAAGCTACTGTCATTACCGTCTGTCCTGCATCTGTCTCTCTGTCTCTTTCTCTTTCTCTGTCTCATTGTGTCATACGGATTACTGTTAATTTATTATGCTGATCTGTTCTGTACGACATCTATTGCACGTCTGTCCGTCCTGGAAGAGGGATCCCTCCTCAGTTGCTCTTCCTGAGGTTTCTACCGTTTTTTTCCCCGTTAAAGGGTTTTTTTTTGGGGAGTTTTTCCTGATCAGCTGTGAGGGTCATAAGGACAGAGGGATGTCGTATGCTGTAAAGCCCTGTGAGGCAAATTGTGATTTGTGATATTGGGCTTTATAAATAAAATTGATTGATCATCATCCTCAACACTGGTCTCCCCCAGGGCTGCGTCCTCAGCCCCCTTCTCTTCTCCCTATACACCAGTGACTGCACCTCTACCCACAGCTCCACCTCAGTAGTCAAATTTGCTGATCACATGACCATAGTGGGACAAATAACGAACGGCGATGAGTCAAGAGTCAAGAAGGCCCAGAAACACCTCTTCCACCTGAGAACACTCAAACGAAACAGACTTTCAAAGAAGGTGCTCGTTAACTTCTATCACAGCACCATCGAGAGTGTTCTCACATACAACAGCCCTGTCTGGTTCTCTAGCTCCACCACAGCTGAGAGGAAGGACCTATAAATATTGGTGAAAACTGCCCAATGAATCATCGGCTCCCCCCTCCCCCTCCTGAGTGACATTTACTCCTGTCGCCTCCTCAAGCGGGCGTTCCGCAACCAGAAGGACCCCTCACATCCTGGACACCCCCTCTTCAGTACTCTCCCATCAGGCAGGTTGAGAGCCACATGTGCGAGAACCAACAGACTGAGAAACAACTTCTTTCCGCGAGCTGTGAACTGACTGATGTATCAAACTGCTGCACTGCACTCCACTGTACCGTACCATCTATCATCATATCACTTACTGTACCATACTGCTGATCCGACAGTTGATCTCATCTATTCCTTTATCTTCAGCTTGTTTTTTTTAATCGTAATCTCATTTGACTTTAATTCTTATTTAGTTTTTAAAAACCAAATGTATATTTATATTTATAATAACAATACACAATATTTATTCATACACTGCACTTTATAGCTCTGTTTACATTTTACCACTGTTTGTTGATCTGACCTGTGTGATGCCAAAACGAAATTTCGTTGTATCCTGTGTACAATGACAATAAAGCTTCTTATCTTATCTTATCTTATTTTCTCTTTCACTGGGTTGTGGTGTATCGTAGCAATCATAATGCGTGGCTTGTTGTCCGGCGGGCTGATGCGGTAAGCTCTGTCCACCTTGATCCTGTGTGGGAAGCAGTCTGCTCCCAGAAGCTTAGGCAACAGGTCCAATACAAATGCCGTAGGTGAGCCCTTCTCCACTTTCTCAGGCAGATCAATAATTTTAATATTTTGTCCTCTAGATCTTCTCTCGAGGTCGCTCAGTGTAGCTTTCAAGAGCTTGTTCTGGGTGTGCAGCTCACCACAACTCTTCTCCAACTCGGTGATGCATGTGTCATGCTCCTCTTGTGTCTCTTCCAGGCTGGTTACGCGGGATGAGTTTGTAGCTAGAGCAGTTTTTACCCCAGTGAGAGATGTCTTCAGGTTATCAAACTTTGTGTTCATAGAGTTTTCAATTCGTCTAATGGCCTCTAGGATGGACGCTGCATGGCTGACACCTGAAACCAAAACTTTAAGTAACGAAAGTAACAATAAGAGCCAATAACTTCGGAGCCGATAACGTCAGAGCTTACTATTATTACAGTCTTGATTAAATTTGCCTTGGGCCGTTTAATACTGGGTCTTGTTACCAATCCCTGCCCGGGCCACTCAGAGGTTGCCTCTGGGTCGCATGTGGCCCGTGGGCAGCTAATTGAATAGGCCTGGTTTAGGGTAGTGGCTTGTTACCTACGAAGGGTTTAGAGTAGGGGCGTCTCAGCATGAAAGGTTAAGGGTAGTGGCTTGTTACCGATGAAGGGTTTAGAGTAGGGGCGTCTCAGCATGAAAGGTTAACCCTATGGGCCCTAGGCGTTTTTTGGGGTATTTTTACTGCCTTTACTTTTAAGTTCATATCACAGTCATTATAAAGGCTACATACACATGCTATATCTTTTTTTTTCAGGACAATCTGGGCTAACCAGATTTGCCATCATTTCATGTCCTTCTATGTGCCTGTATTTTATATTAATTTTTATATCAATGAAAAAAACAAATCCGTGTGACTAAATTCTTAAATTTTTACATGTATCTCACCACAGCAAGTTGGAAGAAGACATATTCTGCCATATATGAAGAGGGGAGACTCTCTGGAATCTGGCAATATAAGAACCATGATGTTGGGATATTCTGTCACTTCACAGCTGTCCAAAACATGTGGTTTGTGCCAGGTGGACATGATTGCCAGTATTTTTTCATTATTGCAAGAAATTCCATTGACTCATTCACAAGTCAAAAATGTGTTTTATCTGAAAGAAACATGCAATATTTACATCTAAGATCATAGAAAAATAGTCAACCAAGTGCAATGATGTCCTCCAAGATAATATTTGCCACTTTGTTTGCAGTAAACAAAGTTTGTTGTTGTTGGTGGGGGGGCACGTGTCCCCCTCAATGTATATGGTGACTACGGCCCTGTCAGCATGCATAATTAGTCTGCAGTTGTCTGGGTGCTCAAAGGTGAAGTGGCTGGTCTTGTCATACAAAGTTTGATGGAGTGTCAACTGGACAATATGGAGATATTTGCATCTTGAAAGCCGGACTACAAATGTGGATAGACAGGGAGAAACACACTCAAGCCTAAGACGTGGTAAGATACGATATTCCTCACTGTATGAAGTGACTGATAACAAGATCTGTATAATGGGTTGTAAAGAAATCCGTCAGGTTTTTATTTTGTAGACAATTAATCTGGATTTATAGCGTGATGGGATGACTGCACAATGATGTGTGGTATCAGTGGAAAGCTCTGCTCGTGCGCTTCCATGTGATATGCGTGGCATTTCTGTGCGAGCCTGCATTCGCGAGTAATCCATCCAAGAGTAATGTGTGTGCAGAGCTGTATGAAAGCTCTGTTATTCATAATTTTAGTGTAACTTTATCATTTTTTTTCACTGTGAAAACATTGGACTACCGACAAGTGCTAGGTCTTGTCTTCTGCTGTTTCACGTGATATGCGTGGCTTCTCGCTATGATGCACTGTTGCAGAGAAAATCAATAGAGAAGAACGGGTGTGAATTTGGACGCACTATGCGTTGTTCGGGCCCATAGGGTTAAGGGTAGTGGCTCGTTACCTATGAAGGGTTTAGAGTAGGGGCTTCTAAGCATGAAAGGTTAAGGGTAGTGGCTTGTTACCTATGAAGGCATTGGGAATCGTTATCTTCAGCCACATCCGGTCCCGAACCTCCAGACCCGACTCAGGATTGGCCATTGCCTTGACAACAGCTGTCATGTCGCTGTGGATGGTGAGATGGGTTTCTTCATGCACACCTGAAAAACACGGGCAGATTATCATTGGGATCGTGGATGGACAGGTGATGGATGGACAAATACTGCATGCTGTGTGATGGGAGTCTCACCATAGTGTGGGGGGAGCCTCCCTGTCATGGCGGCAGTGTGCGACACCCAGGCAGCCGGGTCGATTGGACGGACCGGTTCACCTTCAGGGGACATAGGGAAAGACAGCGGACAACCAGGTGTATCCGTGTAAGTTAAGTGTGGGGAGGTAATAAATGACACTGACTAGCGTTCTGAAGATACTCACTCCTCGGCAGTGTGAAGCAGCCCCGTGGGTTTGGATCCCAACACTTTGCCACCGTTAACGTCACAGGACTACAGACAGACAGACAGACAGACAGACGTGTATGTGTGATGTTAGCTTCACTCCAGTTGTACTACTAGTAGTAACAGTGGTAATAGTACTAAAAGTATAAGACGTGTCACCCTGGTTTGTGGACGATCTCTCTGAGGACTCGGACAGCGTCATCGTTACTCATGTTCTCAAAGTTGATGTCGTTCACCTGATGGACACACAGACCATTATTTAATCAGTTCAGTTATACCACAAACAGTAGAACTGACACCAGTACTGACAGTAGTTCTGACAGTTGTACCTGCAGTAACATGTCTCCAGGTTCAATGCGTCCGTCTGCTGCCACCGCTCCGCCCTTCATGATGGAGCCGATATAAATCCCTCCATCTCCTCTGTCGTTACTCTGACCGACGATACTAATGCCCAAGAAGTTATACCTCTCTGACAGACAGACGGACAGACAGATTCATTCTCATTGTCACATCATTGTTTTTTCTTGCAGATCAACAAATAAAATCACAGGGATTAAAACATCAGAGTCTCAGCTTCATGTCTGCATCACCCAAAGCACCATTACCAGCTGGTACCCTGCTGCCACTGCCATGGACAAGGACAGACTACAATCTGCTGTGCCTCCAGGACCCTAAGGACTCTCCAGGACCTGTACACCTCCAGGACCCTAAGGACTCTCCAGGACCTGTACACCTCCAGGACCCTAAGGACTCTCCAGGACCTGTACACCTCCTGTGTACTTTTACTTCCTGCTGTGTACTTTTACTTCCTGTCGTGTACTTTTACTTCCTGCAGCTGTGTACTTTTACTTTCTTCTGCTGTGTACTTTTACTTTCTTCTGCTGTGCACTTTTACTTTCTGCTGTGCACTTTTACTTTCTGCTGTGCACTTTTACTTTCTGTCGTGTACTTTTACTTCTTGCAGCTGTGTACTGTTACTTTCTGCTGTGTACTTTTACTTTCTGCTGTGTACTTTTACTTCCTGCAGCTGTGCACTTTTACTTTCTGTCGTGTACTTTTACTTCCTACAGCTGTGCACTTTTACTTTCTGCTGCTGTGTACTTTTACTTCCTGCAGCTGTGTACTTTTACTTTCTGCTGCTGTGTACTTTTACTTCCTGTCATGTACTTTTACTTTCTGCTGCTGTGTACTTTTACTTCCTGTCATGTACTTTTACTTCCTGCTGCTGTGCACTTTTACTTTCTGTCATGTACTTTTACTTCCTACAGCTGTGCACTTTTACTTTCTGCTGCTGTGTACTTTTACTTCCTGCAGCTGTGTACTTTTACTTTCTGCTGCTGTGTACTTTTACTTCCTGTCATGTACTTTTACTTTCTGCTGCTGTGTACTTTTACTTCCTGTCATGTACTTTTACTTCCTGCTGCTGTGCACTTTTACTTTCTGTCATGTACTTTTACTTCCTACAGCTGTGTACTTTTACTTTCTGCTGCTGTGTACTTTTACTTCCTACAGCTGTGTACTTTTACTTTCTGCTGCTGTGTACTTTTACTTCCTGTCATGTACTTTTACTTCCTGCTGCTGTGTACTTTTACTTTCTGTCATGTACTTTTACTTCCTACAGCTGTGCACTTTTACTTTCTGCTGTTGTGTACTTTTACTTCCTACAGCTGTGTACTTTTACTTTCTGCTGCTGTGTACTTTTACTTCCTGTCATGTACTTTTACTTTCTGCTGCTGTGTACTTTTACTTCCTGTCATGTACTTTTACTTCCTGCTGCTGTGTACTTTTACTTTCTGTCATGTACTTTTACTTCCTACAGCTGTGCACTTTTACTTTCTGCTGTTGTGTACTTTTACTTCCTACAGCTGTGTACTTTTACTTTCTGCTGCTGTGTACTTTTACTTCCTGTCATGTACTTTTACTTTCTGCTGCTGTGTACTTTTACTTCCTGTCATGTACTTTTACTTCCTGCAGCTGTGCACTTTTACTTTCTGTCATGTACTTTTACTTCCTGCAGCTGTGTACTTTTACTTTCTGCTGTGTACTTTTACTTCCTGTCATGTACTTTTACTTCCTGCAGCTGTGCACTTTTACTTTCTGTCGTGTACTTTTACTTCCTGCAGCTGTGTACTTTTACTTGCTGCTGTGTACTTTTACTTCCTGTCATGTACTTTTACTTCCTGCAGCTGTGCACTTTTACTTTCTGTCGTGTACTTTTACTTCCTGCAGCTGTGTACTTTTACTTTCTGCTATGTACTTTTACTTCCTGTCATGTACTTTTACTTCCTGCAGCTGTGCACTTTTACTTTCTGTCGTGTACTTTTACTTCCTGCAGCTGTGTACTGTTACTTTCTGTCATGTACTTTTACTTCCTGCAGCTGTGTACTTTTACTTTCTGCTGTGTACTTTTACTTCCTGTCGTGTACTTTTACTTCCTGCAGCTGTGCACTTTTACTTTCTGTCGTGTACTTTTACTTCCTACAGCTGTGCACTTTTACTTTCTGCTGCTGTGTACTTTTACTTCCTGCAGCTGTGTACTTTTACTTTCTGCTGCTGTGTACTTTTACTTCCTGTCATGTACTTTTACTTTCTGCTGCTGTGTACTTTTACTTCCTGTCATGTACTTTTACTTCCTGCTGCTGTGCACTTTTACTTTCTGTCATGTACTTTTACTTCCTGCAGCTGTGTACTTTTACTTTCTGCTGCTGTGTACTTTTACTTCCTACAGCTGTGTACTTTTACTTTCTGCTGCTGTGTACTTTTACTTCCTGTCATGTACTTTTACTTTCTGCTGCTGTGTACTTTTACTTTCTGTCATGTACTTTTACTTCCTACAGCTGTGCACTTTTACTTTCTGCTGTTGTGTACTTTTACTTCCTGCAGCTGTGTACTTTTACTTTCTGCTGCTGTGTACTTTTACTTCCTGTCATGTACTTTTACTTTCTGCTGCTGTGTACTTTTACTTCCTGTCATGTACTTTTACTTCCTGCTGCTGTGCACTTTTACTTTCTGTCATGTACTTTTACTTCCTGCAGCTGTGTACTTTTACTTTCTGCTGCTGTGTACTTTTACTTCCTACAGCTGTGTACTTTTACTTTCTGCTGCTGTGTACTTTTACTTCCTGTCATGTACTTTTACTTTCTGCTGCTGTGTACTTTTACTTTCTGTCATGTACTTTTACTTCCTACAGCTGTGCACTTTTACTTTCTGCTGTTGTGTACTTTTACTTCCTACAGCTGTGTACTTTTACTTTCTGCTGCTGTGTACTTTTACTTCCTGTCATGTACTTTTACTTCCTGCTGCTGTGTACTTTTACTTCCTGTCATGTACTTTTACTTCCTGCAGCTGTGCACTTTTACTTTCTGTCATGTACTTTTACTTCCTGCAGCTGTGTACTTTTACTTTCTGCTGTGTACTTTTACTTCCTGTCATGTACTTTTACTTCCTGCAGCTGTGCACTTTTACTTTCTGTCGTGTACTTTTACTTCCTGCAGCTGTGTACTTTTACTTTCTGCTGTGTACTTTTACTTCCTGTCATGTACTTTTACTTCCTGCAGCTGTGCACTTTTACTTTCTGCTGTGTACTTTTACTTCCTGTCATGTACTTTTACTTCCTGCAGCTGTGCACTTTTACTTTCTGTCGTGTACTTTTACTTCCTGCAGCTGTGTACTTTTACTTTCTGCTGTGTACTTTTACTTCCTGTCATGTACTTTTACTTCCTGTCATGTACTTTTACTTCCTGCAGCTGTGCACTTTTACTTTCTGCTGTGTACTTTTACTTCCTGTCATGTACTTTTACTTCCTGCAGCTGTGCACTTTTACTTTCTGTCGTGTACTTTTACTTCCTGTCATGTACTTTTACTTTCTGTCATGTACTTTTACTTCCTGCAGCTGTGTACTTTTACTTTCTGCTGTGTACTTTTACTTCCTGTCATGTACTTTTACTTCCTGCAGCTGTGTACTTTTACTTCCTGTCATGTACTTTTACTTCCTGCAGCTGTGCACTTTTACTTTCTGTCATGTACTTTTACTTCCTGCAGCTGTGTACTTTTACTTTCTGCTGTGTACTTTTACTTTCTGTTGTGTACTTTTACTTCCTGTCGTGTACTTTTACTTCCTGCTGTGTACGATTCCTTCCTGCAGCTGTGTAACTTTTACTTCCTGCTGTGTACTTTTACTTCCTGCTGTGTACCTGGGGGACATGTCCAGCTAGAGTAAAGTAATCGAGTACTTCCTGTTTTACTCACCCATGTTCAGAGTGACAGTGATGACGTTGAGCGACATGGTGGAGTCAGTGACACTGCTGAAAGACACAGACTGACAAGAGGACAGAGAGAAGGACAGAGAGAAGGACAGACATGAGACAGACATGAGGACAGACATGAGGACAGACATGAGACAGACATGAGGACAGACAGGAGGACAGACAGGAGGACAGAGAGGAGGACAGAGACAGAAGGACAGACAGGAGGACAGACAGGAGGACAGACAGGAGGACAGAGACAGAAGGACAGACAGGAGGACAGACAGGAGGACAGACAGGAGGACAGAGAGGAGGACAGAGAGGAGGACAGAGACAGAAGGACAGACAGGAGGACAGACAGGAGGACAGAGACAGAAGGACAGACAGGAGGACAGACATGAGGACAGACAGGAGGACAGAGAGGAGGACAGAGAGGAGGACAGAGACAGAAGGACAGACAGGAGGACAGACAGGAGGACAGAGACAGAAGGACAGACAGGAGGACAGACATGAGGACAGACAGGAGGACAGAGAGGAGGACAGAGAGGAGGACAGAGACAGAAGGACAGACAGGAGGACAGACAGGAGGACAGAGACAGAAGGACAGACAGGAGGACAGACATGAGGACAGACAGGAGGACAGAGAGGAGGACAGAGAGGAGGACAGAGACAGAAGGACAGAGTTAAAAGATTAGAGAGGAAATCTAAAGACAACATGAGGACAGACAGAAGCTGTCTCATCAGAGGACATGATGACAGAGTCCACAGGTCTGTCTCACATCATGTCCCTGAGTAATGTCCATCAGTCCTGCAGTGTGTATTAACTGTCTGTATTTATACAAACACATTTACAAATACATAAATATACACAAATATATGAACAAATATTTATTAATATATAAATGTGCACAAATATATTTATAAGTGTGTCAATATATTTGTTTATATTAATATAATTATGCACAATATATACTTATAAAGTAATGTGAATCCACACAAGTATATATAAATGTACACACCATAAATATATTTATATTTATTATGATTTGTTGTGAAACATTAAAACCTGAACGTGAGATAAAGTTTCAGACACAAACATGAAGAGACGCCAGACGCTGTCATTAATGTCATGTGATCTGTGTGTGTGTGTGTGTGTGTGTGTGTGCGCGTACCCTCTCCATCCGCTGATGTGTTTTGGGTTTCCGGTGGCGGCGGCGTTGTCGCCTGACGAGTCGCGGCGAGGTGCTGCTCTGCCCTGTTGATTGGCTGAACCTGGTGTGACATCACAGAGGAAAACACATCAGTGTGACACGTCTCAGGTGTGACGGGCCAAAATTTTGATTAACTGATCATGTGACAAACAGGAAAGCAAAAATGATAACATTCAAAATATTGTAAAATTAAATCAACATAAAAATCACAGTTTTATGAACTGAAGCAAAATATGAAAAGATTAATCAATAAATCAATAAACTGTATAAACAAACAAAATGATTAAAATAATAGGACATATATTTAACAATATCTCAGCTACATCTGTAAAAACTGAAGCAGTAAAAAATTAAATATACATTAATAATATTAATATTGGTTCAAATGCACCAACTAAAAAACAAAAATCTGAAACTAGAATAAATTTTAAATTTACAAAATGAAAATGTGACAATATTGGGAAAAAAATAATGACAAAAATAAATTAAATATAATTAATGTATCTTTAAAAGATAGATAAAATAGAAACATTTTAAAAATTCTAACAACATCGTGTTAACACAAACCTCTGAACATAAAAATATTAAAAACAAACCTTGAAAAACAAAATCCTACAAAAACTCTCCGGAAGTTAAACAGATAAATAAATAAAAACAGATCTGTAAAAATAAATAAATATGTAAATAATCCAAAATCCAGATGATCCAAAAAAAAGCGACGTTAAAATAATAAAGTCGGAGCTGATAAATAAAATCATAAACACACAAATATAAATCATAAATAATAAACACAGGAACACATCATCTGTGCTCTCAGCTCAGTGGGGACTCTTTTATCTGCGGGACAATGAACACACCACACCGCCCATCACATGACCTGCAGCAGCCAATCAGAGCAGGAGGAGACGATCTGAGTCTGAACAGGTTTACTGGAGCAGAAGAAGAAGACCGCAGGGCAGGTATCATGGAGTTGACCAATCACAGGGAGAGCTGATGATGATGTCATTGAGTCACATGATCAGGACGTTTAAAGGAACAGTTCAACATTTTTACTCATCAGTTTCACCTGAGTTTCCCTGCAGAGCCTAACCTTGCTTAGCATTAAGATACTGTTAGCCTAGCTTAGCATAAAGACGCTGTTAGCCTAGCTTAACATAAAAGACACTGTTAGCCTAGCTTAGCATAAAGACACTGTTAGCCTAGCTTAGTTTAGCACAAAGACACTATTAGCCTAGCTAAGAACAAAAACGCTATGAACGTAGTTTAGTACAGAGTGACTGTTAGCCTAGCTTAGTATAAAGACTGGAGGTGGGGGGGGCAGGACTGTTAGCCTAGCTTAGCACAGCTTAGTCTAGCATACCACAAAGACTGAAAGTAGGGGGGAACTGCTTATCACAAGGAAACTGTTAGCCTTGCTTAGCACAAAGACTCAGAGTAGGATTAAACTGTTAGCCNTTTTAATTCATTTGCTAACATTAACCCCAGAAAACGTGAGCGAACATTCCGTCCGGTTCATCACAAGACCGGCTGTACGTTTTATGAACGAGCAACACAGGGTTAAATGAGCTAAATGGGTGATTTTGGCCGCTGCCTTGGTTAGTGTGTGTGTGTGTGTGTGTGTGTGTGTGTGTGTGTGTGTGCGCGCGCACACACGCATGGGGGTTGTCCCTGCAAAGTAAACATTGCAGCGATCAAGTCAATGTTTACTGACAGTTACTTATATCTTGTCTTTTCACTTTATTAAGATCAGATTCTGCAGGTAAAATTACAATAATAAGGTGACTTGACTTGGACTTGACCTATTACAGGACTTGACTTGACTTGACATAACTTGTGACTTGACTTGCCCAAGAAAAAATGACTTGGGACTTACTTGAGACTTGAAGGTTAAGACTTGAGACTTACTTGAGACTTGCACATGTGTGACTTGGTCCCATCTCTGCTGTTAGCCTAGCTTAGCACAAAGAAACTGTTAGCCTTGCTTAGCACAAAGAAACTGTTAGCCTAGCTCAGTACAAAGAAACTGTTATCACGTCATCACAGTGACACGGCGGAGTAAAGTGAAGTATCTCCACACATGTGATGTGTGTTTGTCAAGGCCCGAACATACTCGGGTGGAAGAGACTCTGCGGAGGTCCATGCGGACTCAAAGCAGACGTCTGCAAGCCCTGTGCGCGCAAAGCTCAGATTTTACGACCTCGCGGACTCCGCTCCGCGCACCAGTGACTGCTTGGCATGTATTTTTCACATTGCGGGAATTTTTCACAGACATTTTTACATTTCATTTATGAAAGCCCAAATGACAAATGACAAAGTCTGCTCCGCTTATGGTACGCCCGAGTATGTTCAAGGATAAAGTATCAGTGTAAGCCAATCAGAGGCAGCGATTGCATTCCGTACACAAGCACACAGAGAGAGAGAGAGAGGGAAAAAACACACGACTTGTCAACTCCTCCCGGGGGGTGTCGACTTGTGCCACTGACGTCGACACGTCGACAAATCGACATTTCTGTTAATGCCCTAGTATAACGTGTTACAAAGTAACGCGTTAGAGTACTTTGATTACTTTTTGCAGTAATGAGCAACCTAACGTGTTAGTTTGCTGTTTGAGTAATCAAATACTTAAGTATATTTTCAAACAAGACATCAGTTACTTCCGTTACTTTTAGAACGCTGGTCCTTCAGCTCCGAAACAACAACGGCTGTCGTTTGGTTCTAATAACGGAGATAATGTTAAACCTATCAGCCTGAAAGAAGCCACGGAGCTTGTGGCTCGCTACGTGGTCGGAGAAATGCTGCCGTTGTCTATGGTGGAGTCTAAATAGGTGGAGTAGGACTCGCTGACAGACATATTTCAGACTCAGGACTTGCATTATGCCTGGTACACGCTCGAGGCTGACATTTTTTCGGGATTCCCACAGGATGGGAATCAGTTTCACTATTCTTCACGTGATTGGGACGGGATGGAAAAAAAGTCAATGGGAGCGTTCGGGACTGGGAATCATAATTAGGCCTGTCGCGAAATGCGATGAGTCGGTTAATTGCACGGTAAATTAAAAGGGATTAATTGCCATATTCATGCATGTTTGTTTTCCTCGTCTCTCTCCACCAAAGAGACTGGACGACAAGAGCATTCACTTTCGTGCATCGTCTGGCAGCCAGGTGAGTTGGTTCATTAGCATAATGAACGGAGGGAAAGCTCTAGTCATCACCTGAGAGTGAGAGACTGACAGTCTATTTCGTTGTATTTATTTATTTAGATATTTTTACGTCTTATTTCGGATATTTAAATTGTCTTCTTTGCAGTCCTAAATATTCTTATTAAATAAATGTTTATTTCTCTTTAAAAGGGTGTACCTGCGTCATTATGCCTTTATTATCATTACATACGTTTAAAAAATGGTCTAAAAACAGCAAAATTACAACAATAATAAAAACGGTCTTAAAAGCACAACATTACGCAATATTATCGCTTATCACAATAATTTCTGACACAATTAATCGCCCAGCAACATTTGTTGTGGTGACAGGCCTAATCATAATAACAATAGTCGATTTTTTGAATCTAGCTCCACCTCCAGCAGCTACAACAGTAACATGCTGCTCTGACACTGATGCTTCAGTATTAATAATCTAATAATGTCATATATAATAACATCAGTCAGAGGAACCAAACACTACTTTAACTACATTTTTCTCTCTCAGAACTGGCTCTTATGACGTGTTGTCTGACCACATCAGAAATCAAATGTGTTTCATTCTGAACAGCTTCAAGGTGGAGTGAATGTTAGATTAATTGGCAATAAACATCAAAACACAACATTAGATGTCATATTTGGGTTTATATTCAACTAAGGTAGGCATTGTATGATCCATGTACTATACATATATACATAGATGTATTTTTTACTGTAACTGAAACACAACACAGGAGAGGGATGGGACGGGAGTCATTCTTGTGGGACTGGGACGGGACAGGACTGAAAATCCACTCCCGTGTCACCCTCTAGTT